GGAGAGTGAAGACATGAAGATTGAAGAAGCATTCAGAGTCAAACATGAAGATACTGAGACACAAACAAAGATGGAGTTTATTAAAGAGGAGAGTGAAGACATGAAGATTGAAGAAACATTCAGAGTCAAACATGAAGATACTGAGACACAAACAGGTTGGTTTTCATTCTCAATGCTGAACTCACTCATTTGATCCTCATTAAAATGTCCAGCTCTACAGAAATATATAATATTTCTGAAGAATGTCATAAGATAGGGTGACCATATGTCCTCTTTTCCCCGGACATGTCCTCTTTTTGGACCTAAAAAAATGCGTCCGGCCGGCATTTCTTAATCGCCCAAAATGTCCGGGATTCGGCTGTTTTCTTTATCCCGCTCCCGCTGAATCTCTGACCATTGCCACCTGCTCGCGCAACGTGTCCCAATTCTGTGGAAAAAACGCGGACTTGGCAACCCTACATCCAACAAGAGCTGCAGGAGTCAGATTTGACTGATCACAGGTCAAGAATAAGGAGAAGTGACTGACAAGACCATGCTTGAGTATTTGCTGCTCAACAGATCCTGAGCTCACTGACAAATATCTGATCTTGTAAGATGTGCTCCCTTTACAAACTTTAACAAGTTCCAGACAATCATGTTCACGTGTTGCCCACATGATGCTGCCATGACACAATGAGAGTGTTTCATGTTTTTGTATCAACTGTAGCAAAAACAGAATAAAACTAACAAAATGCTGCCATTTGTTTTGAAAACAGCTGACGAAATGCAAAAATATGAGCAAAAAGAAAACTTAATGTTAATGTTTTTAAGTTTGACGTACGTTAGGTACACACTATGTTAGCTGGAAGCAGTAATGTCAAATGACTCGTCTCGCTGAGGTCAGGGTTGATCGATCTGCCCCATGTTCACAAGTCGGATGTCTGACTTCAAGCAGCAATCAAGACGTTATTTCCAAGTAGGAGATGGGAAAAATCGGAATTTCGAGTTGTCTGGAATACAGCATTAAAACCTGCTGCAGACTGTCATTGATGTAAATTGCTGGCTGATTAAATTTTGTATCTTAAATAAAGATTAATCTATATTCAATTTATTTTTCATGCATATACAAATGATGTGAAGACTTTATGTTAGGATTGTTGTAAGTTCACACTTTTCCAAAGCCTATTAAATTTTACAAAATTGTGACTTTAATGTTGAATGGCTATACTTAATAATTAAAATAGGGGGGAAATGTATTGAACCCTTGTGTTGTGTTCAAATCCCTAGAACACTTGTGGCGTTCCCAGTAAAAAATGACCGGCCTACAAAAAATAGCTTATAAATCTTGTTATGCTATATTATTACTAGGGCAGCACGATAAATCGCATGTGATATTTAACGCGCATCTTGTCAGTAAAGCCGGTTCTGTAATCAGCGGTAAATCTCCATCACCTGCGTGCTTTCACATTGAGCAGCATTAACTACACAGAGCCGTTGTTCACTGACGAGCTGCGCTAAACCACGTTCATATTCGCGTGATTTTTTGCGCAGCTCATCAGTGAACAACGGCTCTGTGTAGTTAATGCTGCTCAATGTGAAAGCCCGCACGTGATGGAGATTTACCGCTGATTACAAAACCGGCTTTCTGACAAGATGCGCGTTAAATATCACATGCGATTTATCGTGCAGCCCTAATTATTACCAAATATTGGTATTGTTCTTTTTGTCAACTTGTTTACTTTCAATTACAACTGGTTTTGTATTTATTTTTGGAACTGATTTATCATAGGCCTCATTAATCTGAGCTTACGTACTGCAGTTTTTGAGTGAAAAATGCATTATTAAAAATCATTATAAAAATATTATTTGGACAGTTGTGCAGTTTTGTCATGAAATGTAAAAATAGATAATTGGCATAACGTGAGCTCAAATGATAATGTCCCTCATGGTCAGCATGTACTAGGAGAAAAGCAGAGGACTTCATACTGAGCCCTGATGCACTCCATATTTGTGTTTGATTAAATGTCTATTTGTTTACACAGTATTAGCAGTCGGATAGATTTAAGACCTAACTTTTGGTTCTCTAGCGGTTAATAAACAGAACTGCGTGTGTCTTGCAGAAGAACATTGTAGCTGGAGCTATTTGTCTTTGTTTATGTCTATGACGATTCACGCAGGTACTGGGCTACCTAGCAGCGGTTCCTACCAGAACCAGTCTAAAATAGTCTGCATGTAAAACTTATCATAGGTGTACTGTAGTGATTCAGGATAAGCCAAACACATGGTTTGGAAAACGGCTTCATGATGTACTCACTTATTATATAATTTTTGAATTATATTGAAATTATTAATACAAAAAAAGTTACAGACTTAAAAAAAACAAACATGAATGGCAGATTCAGGACTTGTATATAACAGTGGTTTTGTTGGAAAATCTTGGTTTTTGTGTTTTAATACTTTTATCTTGGTTTTGAAGTCTTGCTTTAAGCCAATAAACTGCCACTAACTTGTATTTGTCTTTTTTTTTTTTTTTTGCTTTAGACCTGATGGCACTGAAGGAAGAGAGGCAAGAACTTACAAAGTTAGAAGAGAAAGATGAATATGAGAGACTTGATTTCATGACTGTGGGAAAATCCATACAGACTGAAACAACTTCATCACGAAAAAAAGCTCAGAGGACCGAATCTAACGTTTACTTCACCTGCCATCAATGTGGAAAGAGTTTCAAACAAAAATATAACCTTCAAATGCACATGAACGTTCACACTGGAGAGAAGCCTTTCACATGCCAACAGTGTGGAAAGAGTTTTACACATAAAAAAGGCCTTAATTCCCACATGAACCGTCACACTGGAGAGAAGCCGTTCACATGTGATCAGTGTGGAAAGAGTTTCAGACAAAAAGTAACCCGTAATTTTCACACGAAGAGAGAACACCCAGGAGAGGATGCTTTTAAATGTCATTGGTGTGGAGAGAGTTTCAGTTGTAAAGTAAGCCTCAAAACTCATACGAGACTTCACACTCCAGAGAAGACTTTTACCTGCAAACTGTGTGGGAAGAGCTTCTCATGCAAAGCATCTCTTAAGATTCACATGGTCATTCACACTGGAGAGAAGTTGTTTCCATGTGATCAGTGTGGAAAGTGTTTCAGACATAAATCATCCCTTAATTCACACATGAAAGGTCACACTGGACAGAGTCCTTACACCTGCAAAATGTGTGGGAAGAGCTTCTCAATTAAATCAACCCTTAATGCCCACATGAGAAGTCACACAGGAGAGAAACCCTTCACCTGCAAACTGTGTGAGAAGAGCTTCACACAAAAAGGAAATCTTACGGCTCACATGAAAACTCACACAGGAGCGAAGCCTTTTGTGTGTGCTCAGTGTGGAAAATGTTTTACACGTGAAACAAACCTTGCTAATCACATGAGGCTTCACTCAAGAGAGAACTCTTTTAATGGTCATCAGTGTGGAGAGAGATTCCCAGACAAGAGACACCCTAACTGGCATGAAAAAATTCATTCTCGAGAGTCATCTTTCACGTGCCATGACTGTGGAAAGAGTTTCAGATTGAAAGGAAACCTCAAGGTTCACATGAGAATCCACACTGGAGAGAAACCCTTCACCTGCACTCACTGTGGAAAGAGTTTCAGTCAGAACATAAGCCTTCAGATTCATATGAGGTTTCACACTGGAGAGAAACCATTTACCTGCAATGTGTGTGGGAAGAGCTTCACATATAAAGCACACTATAATTCCCACATGAGAATTCACACTGGAGAGAAGCCTTTTACCTGCAAACTGTGTGGGAATAGCTTCACACGCAAAGAATCTCTTAAGAGTCACATGGTCGTTCACACTGGAGAAAAACCGTTTCCATGTGATCAGTGTGGAAAGTGTTTCAGACGTAAAGCAACCCTTAATTCACACATGAAAAGTCACACTGGAGAGAGTCCTCAACCCTTAAAGGTGGGGTAAGCGATTTCTGGTAGCCAATGTTGACATTTGAAAGCACCAAAACAAACACGCTCATATCCCAACAGGACCTCGCCCCTATTTTGAAATCTCCACCCCACACATACGTACACAACCCTGGCATAACGACGATCGTTGAAACAAGCGAAGATGACACACACGCATATTCAAACAAAAGCCAACACAGATGAGTTGTGTGAAACAATGCAAAATCAATGGTACTCAAAAACAACGCAACCTCAGCGTCCGATTCGAGCCCTTAACGCTCCTTGCGTTCTATCCACCGCTGGAAAGCTGCTCCGATATTTACCTCTTGCTTGATCGTAACACTTCTTTTTAATGTTTTGCTCCTCTGATATTTTCCTTTTTTTATCTTCCAGTTTTCTCTATCTATAGTCCATCTGCTAATATCCGTTCTGTACACTCAAATCGAGCGCTCTCTTCTCGCTATCATTACAAGACACGCCCCCTTACTGTTGATTGGCTGCAAGTGTGTTTTGGGACTCGGTCCGACACTGTGGACAAAAGCATTTTTCAAATATTGCTTAGTACACCTTTGGTAAGTGTTTACAAAAATATCTCCCTGTTCTCTTTACCTGCTGTATTCCAAACAACAGAGTAAAACACTGGTTTTAATGTGTTTATACAGTTGTGCGTTTAGGCCTGAATCATACTCTACTCAAATATGTGAAAGCAGACACATCGATGCATGGATGATTTCATAGGTGCATTCTCTGCATTGACCCAAGGGATGCTTTAGGTGCGTCCCAGTTCATATACTAATGTGGTAGTATAAATAGTGAACACTGAAAATTCTAAATAAAAAAAAGAAAGAAAGAAAATGCGCTCTCTCCTCCACATCATGAGTAGACACGCCCCCTTTCTGCTGATTGGCTCCAAGTTTGTTTTGCTAGTCGGCCCGGATCAGTTTTCTAAAGCGTTTTTGAAAAATCGCTTACCCCACCTTTAATGCCCACATGAGAAGGTTAGAGGTTAGATGCGTACATATGAACCGGCGGGACATAAGCTAACATACACTTGCTGCACATCTCATAAAACGTTAAAAAATGTCAATATGTGGGAGTAAGAGAAGAGCATATGGATAAATCTGACGACGCAAGAGAGAACTCAATTCAGTCTGTTTTTTTTAGCGTTGACACTAAACACACAAAGCGCGACTCACGGCATGCGAGTACTCTTTCGCGTCGCATGAACGGAGAATTACACACAAAATGATGTTGAATTGTCCGTTTTGACGAGTATTCACGTAAACACAGTTGATTATGTCTTAAGTGAACGTAAACAGTAGGGAGAATCTGTATCAGTACATTGCATCCATTGCAGCTGTGCATTCGGTTTTAAAGGGACAGCAGCCTAATTTACTTGCTATTGTCCGAGTCATTGATGTTATTTAAAGCAACAACAGAAAGACAGAAAATCTGCTCTTGATTGAAAAATGTTAGTAGCCCTAAAGATTAATCTAAATTTATTTATAGAAATAAATATGTCTGCTTGAAAGAATGAAGAATATGGTAAAGAAGTTTCTATACAGAATGCATAATTAGCCTATATAACCATTGGTATTTCATTAAAAAAGAGTTCCACGGTTTATTTTCCGGGGTTCCACTGAGCTGTCATCCGTCAGGATAGAACGATAACAGCTTCGCGGGCTTATTGTTGTTGTTTTTTGTAGCTGTCGTTATAATAATTTATCATTTTGAGCAGGAGTCCAGGATTGATTGGGAAATTTTTTTTTAAATGCACCTACTACAAAGAAGAGCAATAAGACGGCATTATAAAATAAAAAAGTGCGCTTTGATTTTTGAATGGCGAAGACGTACTCGCACACATTCACAGCTTCATTTTGAAGTTTTAGTAAAACAACAAAGCTAATGCTTTTCACGGAACTTACGTAATTACCCATCATACATTGTGATATAGCTTGGTTCGTTGGTCTGTTGGATTGGATTGCTTTCTCACTTCAACCGAACCGCTCCAGAGTTCGTTTTCAATCGAGCCGAGGCCACCTCGTTCAGGCGATCTCGGACCGATTGTTTTGGCGCGGATCCGAGGGCGATAGAAATGCTGAATAAATGCACTGAAACTAAACCCATTAGATTTTAGCCGACTAAATTTACTGTAGATTTAGTCGACTAAAATCTAATGATATTTAGCCGACTAAAACAAGACTAAAACTAAAAACAATTCAGATGACTAAAATATGACTAAAACTAAATGGCATTTTAGTCAAACGACTATACTAAATGGCATTTTAGTCAAAAGACTATGACTAAAACTAAATCAAAATTTGCTGTCAAAATTAACACTGGTGTGAGAAGAGCTTCATACAAAAAGGAAATCTTAAGGCTCAGATGAAAACTCATACAGGAGAGAAGCTTTTTGTGTGTGCTCAGTGTGTGAAACAACCCTAACCCCATGAGGATTCACTCAAAAGAGTGTAATTGTCATCAGTGTGGACAGAGATTCCCAGACAAGAGACGCCTTAGCTGGCATGAAAAAATTAATTCTCGAGAGTCATCTTTCACGTGCCATGACTGTGGAAAGAGTTTCAGATTTAAAGGAAAATTTACGGTTCACATGAGAACCCACACTGGAGAGAAACCCTTCACCTGCACTCACTGTGGAAAGAGTTTCAGTCAGAAAGTAACCCTTCAGGTTCACATGAGGCTTCACACTGGAGAGAAACCTTTCACGTGTCTTCAGTGTAAGAAGAGCTTCACATATAAAAGAGACCTGAAACGTCATTTGCAAACACATTCTGGAAAGAAACAGCAGTGCTCTGCGAGTAGAAAGAGGCTTAGAAAAAGGAGCAGTTTGAAAAATCAAAAGCACGATCGCTCCGGAGGAAGGCAGTTTAATTGTGATCAGTGTAAGAAAACATTTCTTTTGCCATCACACTTACAGATACACCTGAAAAGTCATGCAGATGTGAGACCATATTTGTGTGGAAAGTGTTTTAAATGGCACCAGAAAATATGTATTTGTGTAAAATTAAAGCTACGTTCACACTGCAGATCAATGTGGCCCAAATCTGATTGTCCACCTTCATGACCAATTGCATTTTTCACCTCTTTATGAGTCTTGACATTTTATTTTTGTCTTATACATATGAACTGCTGTGACCACACCTGACCATCTGCTTTGTTATAGTCCAGTTGTTCTCAAAATGTTGGTTTGTTCCCAGACCCACCTTTGTGAATATGAAATTCATCTTTGCAGATTTTTACATTCACCACTGTCAAAATTAAATGTCATCATTATAAGTGTCATTATTATTAGCTCAGTTGATGTTAATGGTAAAGTTCATTAGTTATTCAACTCAATTCATAAGAAAATAGTGTCATTGTCCATCTTAATTCAGTTGAAGCTTTTGTTCTTATCTGACAGTGTCAGCCCTGTTGAAAAAAAAACAGCATATGCTGGTTAGGTATGTTTTGATGCTGGTTTAAGCTGGTCCTTTACTGGTTTATGCTGGTCCTTTACTGGTTTATGCTGGTCCTTTACTGGTTTATGCTGGTCCTTTACTGGTTTATGCTGGTCCTTTACTGGTTTATGCTGGTCCTTTACTGGTTTATGCTGGTCCTTTACTGGTTTATGCTGGTCCTTTACTGGTTTATGCTGGTCCTTTACTGGTTTATGCTGGTCCTTTACTGGTTTATGCTGGTCCTTTACTGGTTTATGCTGGTCCTTTACTGGTTTATGCTGGTCCTTTACTGGTTTATGCTGGTCCTTTACTGGTTTATGCTGGTCCTTTACTGGTTTATGCTGGTCCTTTACTGGTTTATGCTGGTCCTTTACTGGTTTATGCTGGTCCTTTACTGGTTTATGCTGGTCCTTTACTGGTTTATGCTGGTCCTTTACTGGTTTATGCTGGTCCTTTACTGGTTTATGCTGGTCCTTTACTGGTTTATGCTGGTCCTTTACTGGTTTATGCTGGTCCTTTACTGGTTTATGCTGGTCCTTTACTGGTTTATGCTGGTCCTTTACTGGTTTATGCTGGTCCTTTACTGGTTTATGCTGGTCCTTTACTGGTTTATGCTGGTCCTTTGCCAGCACATGACCAGCATAAACCAGCAAAGGACCAGCTTAAACCAGCATCCCAGCGTCAAAACATACCTAAACAGCATATGCTGTTTTTTTCAACAGGGCAGCCTCATTGATAATTTCAAAATATTACTTGTTTTTTAAACCCAAACTGAAGAGGCCAAAGGACACAATGGCTAGGAGCACAAACTCAGGTCATAGTAGTGGAGAAAAAACCTTGAGAAAGTCCAGTCCTCCTCTGGCCTAAATGAACAAACAGTCAAGTCACCTTTATTTATATAGCGCTTTTAACAATTCCAGATTGTCAAAGCAACTGTACAGCATTAATTAGGAAAATATTGTGTCAATAATGCAAAATGACAACAGTAATTAAAAAACAGTAACCAAAATCTGACTTTACATTTCCCAAAAGAGAAGATGGCACCACCACTACTTTTACAGGACCTTGGTGAATGTTGAGCGAATTAGAAGAAGCTGGCTAAGCTATTCACCTAAAAGCAATGCACTCTTCTGCTTTTGCTGTAAATTGTTTTCTGTTAAAGAGTACAATTTAATCAGAAGAGGATTAAATGGACTGGAAAAATGCACCATCTTACCTAAGCATCCATGAGAACTCCTGAACACATCAAACACCTGGCAGCATGGAAGATGCTAGAGATGCGTCTAAAGCAGAAAAGGCTGAGGAGCACAAAAAACACTTCACCTATGAAGCTCACGATGAGCCATTCATGGATGCATTAAAGAAGCTAGAAGTGAGATTCTTTTACACAGTTGTAGATGCTGTCAAATCCTCTGTTTACTAAATCAGTTATAATTGCACCTGATAAGTCAGAGGGCCAGTCAGCTGAACTGAGACATCTGCAGCAGGTGCCTCAGTTGGAGTGGTTTCTATTGCTTGGGAATCAGATGGATGTAATGTTTGATTTCAATACAGTAATGTATCCACAATGTTGTGCAATATAAATGAATACAACCAGTGTATAACATCAGAGTGCAGACTAAATAAAACTACAATACTCAAAAAGAGTGCTATGAAAAATGTTGGATGTAGCAGCATCGACTGTCTCTACACTGAGAAATTTCAGCATAGCCCTTAGTACATAAAGCCAGAAAACACTCATTTTAAAAATAAAGCGTAAATCAAAAGCGTTTTTGTAAATGCATAATAAATATGCATAAATGACTAGAAATGCAGGAGACATTTCAGCTTGTTTTTAAGGCCTTTATGATTAACACAAAACGATTTTATTATTTATTTTGCATTAAATTAATTTTGCATTAGATATTGGACAGCGGGTTAAATTCGAATTTGGAAGGAAGGTGAGACCTGTTTTTTTAGCAGGGAGAATTGGTTAATTATTAAACGAAACATGCTGAATGTGGCCTAATATTTCCCTCACATATCACACAAGTCTGTCTGTGTGACATTTATTAAAACAAGTCCTAATACTACAGTAACAAATAATGTATTATGCATAACATAACATACCTTTACTTTGAGCTTGCTTTTCTTCCTCTGCTTTTTTCTGGCTCCGGAGAGATACCGTTTGAATTTAAAATGAAAAATAGCATTGATGTGCATTACATAGATTAGAAATACATCAGTTAAAAATAGCAACCAGATTCATGACGTTGTAAGACGTCATGAACTTTGAACTCTGCTATGAACTAGCTATTTTTAACCATTTTGATATATGGTTGGCATTAAAGCTTTCTGCAGCTAAACATTACAGCTGTGACTTCTAGACAGAATCTCACATTCCTTCATGATTTCTTTCAGGACATCATTGGACAGCATGCATTGAACTATGTATTTCACCAAGAACTGAACTCTGAATTTCATGATATACCTATTTTGTGATTTGAAACCAGACTTTTATTTTGGTGTGGTGGCGTGACGTCATAAGGCCGCGCCGCTCCAGCATCTGTTATGATTCGGCTGAAGAAAGGTTTGTGCTTTTACGCATTTAAAGTGTTTACATTTATGAATGTTAGTTTCAGTAAATAAGGTGCATGAGTAAAAGCTGCGTCCCTTTACTCCGAGTTCATGGAATCAACTGCGTCACAAAGTGATTCAGTTTTTGTGTGCTTCTGCTGTTTTTTTTTCTTTTTCAGGCCATTTAAGTCCATTTACTGACTCCACGTGACACACTATTATAAAGATGGCGTTTATTAAAGTGGAGAGTGAAGACGTGAAGATTGAAGAAACATTCAGAGCCAAACATGAAGATACTGAGGAACAAACAGGTTGGTTTTCATTCTCAAAGCTGAACTCACTCATTTCATCCTTATTAAAATGTCCAGCTCTATAGAAATTAATGATGTTTTTGAAGAACTGTCCTACTTAAAGTGGTTTTATGTGAAGCGGTTTCATTGGGATCACATGACCAGACAAATGCTAAGCTGCCTTCTAGTGAACCTGAGAAGATCCTACTTTCAAGTTGGGTATTTGTTATTATTGGGAAAACCACTATGCAATTCCTAAAAAAAATATTGTGTGTAACATTAAACCTGATATCTATTTCTGAATCGAAAACCATTAATTTCTGTCAGATAATTATGCAACAGTTTAGCAGTGGCTCGTCTGGGCAGCGCTGCACCAAACTATTAATCCACTTGAAAACAAAGACATATTGAATTAACCTTGGTTTAAATCATCAATGTGTTCAGCAGTATTTAACATATTTTTCCAAGTTTCAAGTTAAAACAAATTTGTTATATTAATATTTAGTGCATGGCTTCTGCACACAGGTTGACTATTGTTAGAATCCGCTGTATTTGGTTGAGCAGTCATTGGGTGGCTCTCCAATGTATTAGATTGTCATGTTGAATGGGTTCCATGTATGGGTTTCATGAACAATATTACCAAAGATGCCATAAATAATTTAAAATCAGAGATTTCACACACAAGATTATGTGTATGTTTGGCTGAACGGTCTAGACCTAAACTGAGTCTCAGACAATGAAAGCTATTAAAAAGTTTTAGAAGTTATACAGGGGGGGAAAATAAATAAATCTAGGTCAGAATGTTTGTGACTGATAAAAATTATGGATTATAACACAGTGGAAGGTTGCTTAACTACTGAGGAGTTTCTGCCATTCAAAGCTTCGTGTGTAATTGGCAGATTTTTAAAATTGACTCTGCTTGAGAAGAGATAAGAAGCTATGCCAGGATGTGGGGAAATTAAAGTGTATTACTTGCATAAAAGTGAAATAATGTCCCTCAGGGGAAGGATATACAAGGAGAAAATCAGAGGTCCCAATACTGAGCCCTGTGGCACTCCATACTTTGATGAAATGTCTATTTATTCACAGTTTCTGTACTATGATGGGGCTTAAATCCTCACTGAAATTGAGTGGGGCCTAAATCCTGAAAGATACTGTTACTGTATACAAAAATGAACATAGTTGACAGGACACTTTCTCTCAAATTTTTAAATATCAGATTTGAGATTGGGCTATAATTAAATCATCTGGTTTGGGGTTTGATAATTGCCAGTTTGAAAGTTTTTTTGGAACATGTCCTGAAGAAGGTCAAAAAAAAAAACAATAATGAGAAGAGGTTTTGTAATTACATTTAACACCTCTTTTAGAAATCCTGAAAGATACTGTTACTGTATGCAAAAATGAACAGTTGACAGGACACTTTCTCTCAAATTTTTAAATATCAGATTTGAGATTGGGCTATAATTAAATCATCTGGTTTGGGGTTTGATAATTGCCAGTTTGAAAGTTTTTTTGGAACATGTCCTGAAGAAGGTCAAAAAAAAAAACAATAATGAGAAGAGGTTTTGTAATTACATTTAACACCTCTTTTAGTAGCTTAGTGCATATAAGATCTAGTATACATGTTGTGGGTTTTGATGTTTGTTGCTTTGAGCCATTAAAACTGGTTTTAACCTGCATTTGTCTTTTTTTTTTTTTTTTGCTTTAGATTTGATGTCACTGAAAAAGGAGAGTCAAGAACTCGATGAAGATCAGTATGAAAAGCATCATGATTTCAAAATTGGAGAAAAATCATTTTGTTGCTCACAGACTGAAAAGACACAAAAAAGAGTTTATAAGACGGCAAATAGAAGTTATCTCACCTGCCAACAATGTGGAAAGAGTTTCAAAAGATTTGGAAACCTTAAGTCCCACATAAGAATTCACACTGGAGAAAAGCCTTACACATGCTCTCAATGTGGAATAAGTTTTACTCTTAAAGAAACTCTTAGAATGCACATGAGAATTCACACTGGAGAGAAGCCTTACACATGCAAACTGTGTGGATCAAGCTTCAGTCGAAAAACAAGCCTTAAAAACCACATGAGAATTCATACTGGAGAGAAGCCTTACACATGCTCTCAATGTGAAAGGAGCTTTGCACATAAACAAAACTTTGATGTCCACATGAGAATTCACTCTGGAGAGAAACCTTACACATGCAATCTGTGTGGAAAGAGATTCATTCGAAAATCAAACCTTAAAAGCCACACGAGAGTTCACAGTGGAGAGAAACCATACACATGTACTCAATGTGGAAAAAGTTTTAGATATAAACAACATCTCGTTGTCCACATAAGAATTCATACTGGAGAGAAACCTTTCACCTGCCAACAATGTGGAAGGAGCTTCACTGAACAAGCAAACCTAAATGTTCACATGAGAATTCACACTGGAGAAAGCCCTTTCACCTGCCAACAGTGTGGAAAGTGTTTCAATCAAAAAGGAAACCTTAAAACACACATGAACATTCACACTGGTAAGAAGCCGTTTACAAATGATCACAATTTTGGACATAAAGTAACACTTTGATGTGTACGATCACACCAGTGTGATTAAAGTGTTAACTGTGTCATGTGATTAACTGCTAAATTCACGTCTGCATTCGGGCTTTAGCTGGTTCTGGGCCAGACACGCTCAGTGCTTGTCATATTTTAAGAAATTTGTTAAAATGCTTAGTTGTGAAATGTGTAAATATTTATATGAACATAAAAAAGGTCAATAGGTCATCACCGGTCAGAAAGCAAATCACCCTCCTCAAAATTCCCAGGACTGCTTTGCTCACTCTGTGCACAATATCATGCACAGAGGTCTTGGGGATATCGAAGGTCTGTGACACTACCCTGTAGGATGCTGCATAGGCAAGCCAGTAGAGGAACACAAGCAGCTCGATGTCCCTTTCCCACCCATGGTCAGATTCCAGTCTGACTGCACCAATGAGGGACCTGATGAACGGCAAAGACAGGTGAAGGTGGTCAGCTGCTTCATCCAAATAAAGCAGCAGAATATGGCAGCAGGATGTTGGGTTCACCGCCTGTAAATATTTGATCGTTTTTGTTCATGTTTCCTATTGTTGTCAGAAAATAAAATATAATTTAATTAATTCATGCATTAATTCATTGCTTGGACTGAAAATGTATGTATTCACATTGGTTGATTTTGTCTAGTGTTCATGCATAGTTGTGTCATATAATGTAACAATTCAATTAAGTTACATTTTTGCTTGTTTTACTAAAATATATTGCAGTTAATTATATAATTTTTAGTAAGAAAATATTGGTCAGCATTTATCATTATTATGTAAGTGTTGGGGTGAGCTAGCAATGCAATGCTCTGGGTTCATTTTAATTTTTAAGAATTGATACTTACATTTTTCGTGTGTAAAATCAACAGTCTTCTCCAAACAGGATGTTGGGTTCACCGCCTGTAAATATTTGATCGTTTTTGTTCCTATTGTTGTCAGAAAATAAAATATACTTTAATTAATTCATGCATTAATTCATTGCTTGGACTGAAAATGTATGTATTCACATTGGTTGATTTTGTCTAGTGTTCATGCATAGTTGTGTCATATAATGTAACAATTCAATTAAGTTACATTTTTGCTTGTTTTACTAAAATATATTGCAGTTAATTATATAATTTTTAGTAAGAAAATATTGGTCAGCATTTATCATTATTATGTAAGTGTTGGGGTGAGCTAGCAATGCAATGCTCTGGGTTCATTTTAATTTTTAAGAATTGATACTTACATTTTTCGTGTGTAAAATCAACAGTCTTCTCCAAAGTAGAGATCTTCGAGCAGCTGCCCGACATCTCCTTTATGAAGACATTATTGCAATCATTTTAGTTTTCAAGAAAAGCATACAAGGTGGTATGGTTGTCGTGCTACTGATGAAATCAGGTGTTAATGCACCTCTCAGTCATACCTTTAAAGTTGTTGCGCTTGGTATAACGTCGCAGGTCACATGGTAACATCAACACAGATTCGTCACCCATGTAAGTGAGTAAGCTGTACAGTAGGCGGCGGTAATATTCCTAAGGAGTGAACGGCCATTAAAGAAGAAGAAGATAACGTCAACATGGCTGCTCGCATTCATACTTAACGAGATTTGGCTGTAGAGCACTTTAAGAACTGGACTCCCTTGATGAAAGTGCTTTGTGATTTTTCCCCCCAAGTTTTGCTGTAATGCTGCTATTTATTTTGTTTTGTTTTTATGTTCAGGTTAAGCTGTTGCTCAACTTTTAAGTGGAAGATGTTGTTCATGTTTAGTACACTGATCCAGTTTGACCATAATGCTGCACTAAACTAAGCCAAGTTGTTAAAAAGCACTAAGCTAAGCTAAATTGTTAAACAAAATAAATGTTTTCTTATTTTGTTATGAATATTTTGTAAAATGTAAAATAAAAAAAACTTGAAGGAACAGCTTGGTGTCAAGGTTGTACTACAACGAGGAGCGAGGAACGAGGAGTTGTAGGAGAATTCACAGGAACACAGTCTTTAATAATCCAAAGCATGGGTGTCAAACTCAATTCCTGGAGGGCTGGAGCCCTGCAGAGTTTAGATTAAACCCTAATTAAACACACCTGATCCAATTTATCAAGTCCTTCAGGCTTATTTGAAAACTACATTGTTTGTGTGTTGGAGCAGGGCTGGAACAGAACTCTGCAGGGCTCCGGCCCTCCAGGAATTGAGTTTGACACACCTGATCCAAAGGAACCAGGAACAAACATGTAGCAACGGGGAGTTGACATTTAAGACTCAACAAAGAAACAGGGCAGAACACTTTAAATACACAACACAAACAAGGAAATGACAGGTGAGGGGATCAACTAATAATGAGACACACCTGGGAGCAATGAACACAATCAAACACAAGGGAAACCTAGGTCACGGCGCACATGGGGAGGAAAACAACACACAGACAGGTCCAAACTCCTGGCGTATCGCCCCCCTCCCGGAAGGCGCATCCTCGCGCCGTAGAAACAACATGGGGAGGGGCGGGTGGGAACTTGGGAGGAGGCTCAGGAGGAGGACGGACACCCGGGAGGGGGCCGGCAGACAGAGTCCAAGGAGGTGATGCAGGAGGGAGGAGCCAGGGAGGAGACAGAAAGGGCTTGAAGCAGGAGGATCCAAGCCGGACCCAGGCCACAGCCATGATGGCGACCCACGGAGGAGCCGATGGAGGGGGAATGGTTGCCGACTCCAGGGGGCCGCCCGACGGCGGCGGAGCAGGTGGCCAAGGAGCCTGAGCCGGAGAGCCAACGAGCCAGGGGGATGCCGAGGATCCAGGGGGCCAGGGTGGAGCCGAGAGCTCTGGTGACCGAGATCCGTGGCAGAGCCGGAGCGACTGAGGACCAAGGTGGAGCTGGCGGGAGG